TGCAAAAATTCAAATTTCTACCGTTGAAATTCAAATTTGAAAATTTAACCGCCAATATAAAAATTTAAATTCAAAAAAATATAATTCGTCTATAAATATGATCATTTTTCTCATGTTTTCATATAAATATATCACATTCTCTCTATTAATTCAATATATCATTTCTCTTTGACTATTTATCCTTTCATATTTTCATTTATCAATCTATATGAATCATTATCCTAATATTTTATGAGAGATCCTCAACATTGAGAAAGAAGATAATGATAAATTGAATATGTTGTGCTGCAACCAGAAGGTCAGAAGGATCTAGTTAGTGACGTATAAGAAGGCATCGTGGTTCCGTTCCAGGCCACAGAACAGTTAATTGTGGTAGAGTTAAAGGTCACGAAAGACTCTACCGTAACTATTTTGCTACCTCTTGTGCATATAAAGGTTTTCTCCGAAGGAAGTTTCAAATGAGTCGTCGTAAATGAATTTGAACAACACGATCCATATTTCATTCAAACAACAAATGTCGTTGGAGTTCTCAGTTTGTCATCTCTTCAGAAAATAACAGTTGCTTATAGAATTATTACTTACAAAACACTGACAGATTCGATAGATGAATACATCAAAATTGAAGAAAACACTGTCATATAAAATCTGAAAAGATTTGTGAAAGCTGTTATTGTAATGTTTTGGCGACCATTACTTAAGGTCTCCAAATAATAGCGATATTACTTAATTGCTACAAACGGGAGAACAACATGGCTTTCTTGGCATGTTAGGAAGTACTGATTGCATACATTGGACATGAAAAAATTGTCCGACCGCATGACAAGGTATGTATACTAGTCATTGTCATGAACCAATAATCATTTTGAAAGTTGTGACTTCTCAAGATCTTTGAATATGACATGCATTCTTTGAGATTTTTGGTTCACTAAATGACATAAATGCTCTAAATAATTCTCATGTTTTTGCATTATTAGTAAATGGTCATGCTCTTCTAGTAAACTATACAATTAATGGTCATGAGTATACAATGAGATATTATCTAGTTGATTGTATTTATCCAAACTGGTCGACATTTGTAAAAACAATTCTCTATCTACAAGGTTTGAAGAAAAAATATTTTGCTAAAGCATAAGAGTTGGTAAGAAAATATGTACAGTGGGCATTTGGGGTACTTCAAGTCCGTTTTGCAATCATGCGTGAACTAGCACGTTTTTTGGATGAAGAAATACTTGCAGATATTATGAAAACATGCATAATAAGGTCATTGAAGATGAAGAAGATATTAGTAACAATGATTTTGATGAAAGTGATGCAAATTCGTCTATAGAAGTATCGCATGCATATACACTATAATTGAAAAACTTCATGAAAACTCATTATCATATTAGGGACAGTGCAACTCATTCTCAACTACAGTGAGATCTTATCAAGCATTTGTGGGAACGACATGACGAAGAATAATTTTCTCAATTTCAATTTCAAGTTGTATTTTTAATTCCAATTTCAATTGCAAGTTGCATTTTCAATTTCAAGTTGTATTTTCAATTTTACAAGTACTTTCATAACAATCAAACTTAATACATAGTTTTTCATATATAATAGCAACATAATAAATAATGACTAAAAATTAAAAAAATATTAGTAACATAATAAATAACGACTAAAAATTAAAATCCCATTTTTTTCATAATCTCTATCTTCAGGTTATTTCAATATGTTGTAGAAATTGAGTCCATGCCAGTAATGTCAGTTTCCATGATTTTCATTTCATTCTGCATTTCATTTTGCCTTTTGATTTCTTGCACATGTCTTTCTTCAATTTCTAACTGTTTATGATGTTGCTTCAATGCTATCTCTTGTTGAGCAAGAATTTTGTTGTGTCGCTCAATTTTTTGTCATCCCACTTTCATCATTTGATTCTAGTGGTGATGATCTAGTGATACTTCAACACCAGTTTGTTTCTCTTTGTTTTTAAGTTGTTTCTTCAAAGCTTTTTTTTTTCAATGGCCTATCGAGGTTGAGAGTGAACGATGGTTTAATGTCATCCTCTAAATATGGAGTTGAATAGCAAGATTCAACATGATTTGATTCAGTAAGACTGTTAGTTGAATAAGTTTTTTCTCTCTTATTGTTGGTGAGATTATCAGTTCATTTCCGCTCCATTTTTAATATATTCCAACAATACTCGTATTGAAATGGTCTTCTAAATTCTAATGATCTTAGCAAATATTTCTTTTGCTTCAACATTTTGAAAAACATATAAAATCATTAAGTCAATTGTTCAAATATCAAATCATAGTAGTGTCGATCTAAAAAAGTTCAATCATTACATTATTTTGTTCAGTGTGTTCACTTTGTCGCAGTCTTTCAATTTGACCATAAAAATCGACAAATTTGTCGCATTTTGCATTTATATCAGTCCAATGACTTTTCATAGAAACTTGCGAACACTCTTCTTGATTGCCTCCATGAAATTCTAAGTATTTTAATATTCTCTACTAGAAAGTACCACCTTATGGTTCATTCTCATTAATTGTATCTTTACTCGTGTTAAATTACGCAAAGACAATTAATTTATCTTCTTCTTGAGAGAAGTTTTTAGCTTTTGTAATTTTTTCACTCTTAGAGTGGCTTCATTTTGTACAAGACGTCAATACTGTGGGATTGGTCTGCATAACATCATCATATAAATCGGTGTCATTCATAAGAAAATCAGTGAAAGAACCGTCAAATTGCAAATTCATCTACAAAATATATATATATAATCAATTTAAAGAATAAACATAAAATAATCAATTAAAAAATAAATAAAATCGCCATTAATTAAAACAAATTATAAATTAAAAAAATCAGTTAAATAAATAAATTCACCCTAAATTAACAAAAATGAATAAATTAAAATTAAAACATTCAATTTAAATTTTAAAAAATAATTTAATTAAAAAATCAATTAAAATTCTAAATAAAAATTAACTAAAATAGAAAAAACTTCTTCAATTATAAAAATTAGCTAAATAAATAAATTCACCCTAAATTAACAAAGATAAATAAATAAACTAAAATTAAAACATTCAATTTAAATTTTAAAAAATAATTTAATTAAAAAATCAATTAAAATTCTAAATAACAATTAACTAAAATAGAAAAAACTTCTTCAATTATAAAAATTAGCTAAATAAATAAATTCACCCTAAATTAACAAAAATATATAAATAAACTAAAATTAAAACATTCAATTTAAATTACAAAAATTAATTTAATTAAAATTTCAATTTAAATTCTAACAATTAACTAAAATAAAAACATTTATTTTAAATTAAAATCAATTATATATATAGGCACAAAGAGTTTCTCTGAATTTCTNAAAATTATTTTAAATTAAAATCAATTATATATATAGGCACAAAGAGTTTCTCTGAATTTCTTTCTCCCTCCACGCGACTCTAGATTTCTTCTCATTTCTCTCTGCGCCTCCTTCTCCTTCCCCATTCCCTCTGCACCTCCTTTCCTCTTTCTCTATGTGCCTTATTCTTCAGATCTGNCTGTGCCTCATTCTTCAGATCTGTCATCACCAACCACAAGGTTTGAAGAAAAGTCTAGAGCAGGGAGCAGAAACTTACAACGATTTTCACGACAAACAATTTTTATGGCAACCTTTTCTGACCTTTGGTAAGTTTTCTCTTTCAAAATTTCTGTAAAATCTCTNATGTGCCTTATTCTTCAGATCTGTCATCACCAACCACAAGGTTTGAAGAAAAGTCAAGAGCAGCAGGGAGCAGAAACTTACAACGATTTTCACGACAAACAATTTTTACGGCAACCTTTTCTGACCTTTGGTAAGTTTTCTCTTTCAAAATTTCTGTAAAATCTCTGTATTTATAGAATTTTTTGGTTGAATAGAGTCGTTGAGAGTGAAACAGTAGAATTTAAAAAGCCAGAATGACTCTTTACAATCTCTCCCTTTCTCTCTCTAGAGTTTGAAAAATTGTCACCCCAAAAACATTGCTGTCATTTTCTAATTTTTGGTGCCACCTCTGTTGAAGTAAAAAATTTTAAATTTGAGATAACATTTTGATAGTTACAGACAATTATGGGGTTGCCACCTTAGATGCCACTCTTCCTTGGAGTTGTTTTTAGAAACAAAGTGACATCTCCCTTGTCTATATTGCCAAAAAAGCAAACACAGATATGTCACATCATTTGAATAAAAATTTGAAATCCCTCCCCCCCTCCAAAAAAAAAAAAAAAAAAAAAAAGGGNACCACTCTTCCTTGGAGTTGCTTTTAGAAACAAAGTGATATCTCCCTTGTCTATATTGCCAAAAAAACAAACACAGATTATGTCACATCATTTGAATAAAAATTTGAAATCCCTCCCACCCTCCAAAAAAAAAAAAAATAGGGCTTTGTTTGTGTTATTCAAGCAGAACATTGCCAGTCACTAGCACAATGGTGCCGTTACGTGTAATTGCATACACACCTGAAGGTAACTGGTCATCAAATACCAAGAACAAGCTGTTTCAAGCACTTTTCCAAGAACACGATGATACCATCAGTTACCATCGCAAAGGTTGCTTTTGCCACCAAATAAACCTATTTGTACAAATAAATAGACCTAAATCTACAAAGACACGATATCAGGCCACCAAACCACAGAAATGAACACTTTTCAAGTTGAACCAAAAAAAACAGAATACTCGGTAGAATGATGGGGGAAAAAAAACAGAAAGCTAACTAGCTCATATAAAAGCTTCTAAACACAAAATGCACAGATCTACTCTACTGACTNTCACCAAACCACAGAAATGAACACTTTTCAAGTTGAACAAAAAAAAACAGAATACTCGGTAGAATGATGGGGGGAAAAAAACAGAAAGGTAACTAGCTCATATAAAAGCTTCTAAACACAAAATGCACAGATCTACTCTACTGACTCAACTCAAAAAAAAAAAAAATCAATCAATCAATCAGAACACTCACTGGTAGAATGGTGGGGAGAAAACAGAAACGTAACCAAGTCATATAAAAGCTTATAAACAATGTAAAAATCAAATCAACTCCACTCACTCAGCTCTTCCAATTTACTTTCTATGCATCATATTCCATGTCTCTATCCTGTGTTTTCTTTCTTTTGGGTATAAACTAATGGCAAAAGAAGATAAATGATTTGAATTGAAGTCAATTTGATAAACCCTTAACAATAAATCCATTTGAATCATTCCGAATACCAGCTTCCCTTTTCTCACTACTATAAAGTAGCAGCTAAAAATTAGCGAAAACAAGCATAGATTCGCCTCTGGATTGGAGTCCTGCAAGAGGGGCAATCCTTCATTCCTTCCTTCTCATGGAGCACATTGCATTTTGCACAAAGAACCTGATGCGCACAAGGAAGGAAAACCACAGAAATCTCTTCTGTCAGGCACATCACACATTCCCAATCGGGTTTCACACTTCCAGCACCAAAGTTGTCACAAAAAACTGCTAATCTCTTTGGGACTTTGGGAGGTTGGTACACCTGAAAAACTGAGGAACCCTTGCTGTCTTTAAGGCAGCCATCATAGCTCACATCTATGCCCCTTCGAAGTGCTGCTATTTTCGAGGATTCAGACTCAAATCTCAGTTTCGATATCTCATTCTCAAGCTTTCCTACATCTTGTTTATATTTCTGCATCTCATTTTCTGCCTTTTTCCTGATCATATCCTCCTCTGCTTTTCCCAGAGCTTCTAGTTGTTCTCTTTCCTTCCTTAGGGACCTAACTTGCATAAGGATTCTTAACTTCTCCTTTCCTTCCTGTCTCCATCGATCCTGGAATACAAATATGTCCTCTTTAAGATGATACAAGATGATAGTACGAGATATAGCATCTTATCAAAGCAAATGTAAGCCAAGATTAAAAATATAAAACAAAAAAAAAAGACAAGCAATAAATTTGAGAAAGATTTAGAAAAAAGACGACTTATGATTTTCAAGAATGAAAAAGAACTTGGTTTATGTCTGATAGATTGAAAGGATAATCTATAATTAACATTGATGGAACCATGATGTATTTTGGTTTCCAACTTGGGAATCCTTGTTAAAACGATCTGATTCAATAATTCACCCATCTAGAGCAACTTCCTTATGGAATTGGTGCTGTCTAATCTTGGTGATTAGTTAACAATGAAACCATTGCTGAATCAAACATCATATGATCGTAGGTTAAACAGACACCATATTGTCATACGTCTTATTTAGACTATTATCCACAGATGCTAAGTATTTCCCTTTTTGGAGAACCATACCTCACTTTGGTTACGGAGAACTTTAGCCTTTTGTACTTGCTGTTGCAGCTCAGTTTCAATGTGCTTGTCAGTTGTTGACTCCTCCTGCAATAAAGTCTTCTGCATCTCTGACAATTGAGCATTCTTCAGTGCCTCCTGTTCCCTCTGCACAACTTCCTGCAAATTTGCAGCCGACCCTAGAGCCTGTAGTGTAGCGGCCTCCATCTCCTTCTTCATCACAGAATTCTCTACCTCAAGCCTGCACATCGTAGAGTTAGCCATCTCAATCTGGGAGGTAGCATTAGATAGTGCGCACTCCATCTCAGACAGCCTCTTCATGGTGTTCTCCTCCAATGTTTGCTTCTCTTTATTAAATTTTTCTGTTTCTCCTTTCTCTTGCCTCAATGTCTTCAGCTCTGCCTGGTCCTTCCTAAGCCTTTGAGCAGCCTGCATAACCTTCTCATTGGCCCAATCAGTCCAACCCCCGAGCTCTTTCTGCAGTGCTTGCATTGGAGGAACTAGAGTCAATATCATCTCATCCTTATCATCTTGTGCGACATACTTTCCCAGACAGTTATTATATGGGATTGAAGCATAATAATCTGGAGTCCCCGAAGAGCCAGAAATGTTGACTTGGGCATTTGGAGTAGGTATTGTTTCCAGAGGCAATGATGAAGCCAATCCAGTATTTGTTGTGGGTAATGCTGAATCATTATCTTTTATAGGCAATGTAGCAGGGATAGTAGTTGCAGGTAAAACAGAAGGGGCATTGCTTGGATGGTGATGATTTCCATCGGCAAGCAAGGACTTGGAACCAAACGTACTACTTAATTTTGAGCGAGTATTCTCCACAATTATGTCAGAAGAATCATATGGATCCTTCATCTTATCGACAACAACATTACCCCAGCTAGAGAGCTTTGCTTTGAAAGTCCCCTTAGACATCCGACTCTTATGACTTTTCTCAAAATGAAATGTCTTCTGCCGAAGCATGTCACTCTTGGAATTACCTGAGCACCCCTTTCTACAACAACAGGATTTTTTTTCTGTGACAGTTGTTTGGGGCATAATCTGGACATGCTCCCTACTAATGCCCAAAGCTTTACCTCCAGCTTTTGGTACAGGAACTAGACTTTCTTTCTCTTTGGTTGCCACTTCACGAACACAGGGATTTTCAGCATTAGGTAACCAGGCAGGAGGATTTCTAGACTGGGAATTTTGCACATTGATAGTTAAAGCTTTTGGATTATATGGTTTGTTGGGGATTGGAAGACTGGTTTCTGAAGCCTCTGATTTCAATTGGGGAAGTGCCATGCCTGAGGTGCTTGCTCCTGGAACTTCTTTCCCACAAAAATCAACCAAAGTATCTCCTTCCAGTGCGCATGCATGTGAAAGATTCAAGTCGCATAACAACAGGCACCACATTGCTTCAGCAACAGATAAAGAGGGTTTAACCTCTCTAAGCACGCATATCATCTCTAGCATTGTATACTCTACTAGGTTCTGTAAATCTTCAAAGGCATTCTGTCCTGAAGTATTAGTTTTCTTTACACCACTCAGAAAAACCAAAGCACCATTCACAATATTTGACACAGCATCTTGAATACCATAGCAAAAGCCACTCCCCAAAACAGCCCACTCAGCAACCTCCTCACTGTGTCCACATTCAACAATCTTTTTAATTGCACTCCGGAAAGTCGCACTCAAGCTACTTGACAAAAGTTCCTCAAGCTGACAGGCTATAGGATCGTCCCAACCAGCCGATTGCAACCCATCTGCTTCCTTTTCTTCTTTAGGCTGAACAGAGCAGGCCTCCACTGAGCCCAGCTCAATCAACCTGTTCTGAATTTTCTCCTCTAAAAATTCGTATTTAGGGAGCTCTATTTCAGACGGTGAAGATACATCAATTGGAAAGTCTAAAGAAGAATCATCCAAGTATTTTCTCTTGTTCCTACTTCCTTTTTCTTGTGTTGACACAGGCAAGCTACCATCACCATTACCAGTATCAGCCATTTCTGCGAATTTATGGCAGAAAAAAAGAAGTTCCACAGAATCTTTTCCACACAAATCTGTATCTAGAAACCCCAAAAGCAGTTCCGAAATACCATTCCACAGGTCGTACGAACATACAGAATTTGAAAAAAAATGAATAATTAGGGGAAAAATAGAGGCAATAAAAATGCATGGGCCATAATCTATACATTCCTTGGATTATCTGGCTCATGAACAATGAGAAAAGAAACCCACAAAATCCCTAATAGTCCATCACAACAGCAAAATACGAAAATAGTTACCCTGAAAAGGCCAGTACCTCTGCTTCTGTATGAAGGTGAACGGGCCAAAGAATCAGTGTCCTGCACCCAATCATTCACATGAATCAACAAAAACCAACCCAGGACTCGAAATGCAAAGCAAACAAGATTCAAGGAGACCCAAATAGCTAAACAAGAAAATAATTCATACAATACATCCTAACCCAACAAAAACATCCCACTAAAGAACCAATACCCAAGAACATCACAGTCCAGTCAAGAATCAGCCAAAAACTAAAAAACCCTACAAAAATTAATCCATGAAAAAAACAAAAATTCAACTAAATATTAGAAAGAACCGCAACAGAATAATAATATGATTTTTTTATACAAATCAATGAGTAGAAAAGAAACCAAAGGACGAAGATTGTTGAATCAATCAATCAAAACAATAGGGCACTCACAAAAGGTTGTACGAAGACAAGATTGCAAAACGCTACCTTCCATTGTTGTCCGGGCCAACGTCTTATGAGCTCTCTCTATACTTGTTCTTGCACACTGTGGCTTGAAAACACTATATATATAGGGTCACACACCGACGTGGTTAACCCTGCTCGTCCTTTTTAACCATGATTAGGACAGCAAAAACAATATCTATCAATGGATTTAGTGAACTCACGACCAAGGAAAATGGATTCACTAAACCCCATTCACAGATTACACTTGAGGAGAACCAATTCATTACATTTTGTGCAAAATAGAAAAAGGGCTGTTTGGTTTGCATTTTTTAAAAAGAATTTTAAGAAAGTATGTGTTTATTTTTCTATTTTTATTATAAAATTTGTTTGATTATATGATTTTAAAAATAATTTTATAAAATAATAAAATTTATTTAGATAATAACTTAAAAAACAATGAAAATAAAAATTTAATAGTGATGGTGAAAGTGTAGTGATGATAGAAATGTGGCGGTGGTGATGGACATAACAGTGTTAATGATAGGAATGTGGTGGTGGTGGTTGGAGTCCGGTGGTGGTGGTGGTAATAGTGGTTGTATTTTCTAAATTCTAAAAATGTTATTTCTAAAAATATATAAAATAGTCGTAACTTATTCTCTAAAATCTACTCATTTTTTGACCTCAATTTTTAAAAAACAAAAATAAAAAATAATTGGTCAAACAGCTTTTCTTCTAAAAATAAAAAAAAAAAATTTAAAATACAAACCAAACAAGGTTTTCCTTCATTTTTTAGGCAAAGAATATATAAGAAGTAAAGTGTATAGTTTTACACTAGCATTACATCAGGATAGAAAATTAAATTACTCCCAATCACATAAAAACTCTACAAAGGGTTATAAGCAATGTGAAAGATTGTGAATTACATGCAATGCACATGTTACCGTTATTTTAAGTCTAGTTTAATTTAATGTATTACAATTTGATTATAATTATATTTAGCAAACTAGAATGCTACATAAAAATGTACCTCATTTTTCCCTTGTTGAAACAATGGGTTTGATCCACCAAAAGACTTCAACGAAAGAAGATCTAGAATACCATCCAAATCCCTCTCATCCTGCAAATTAAGAAAATAACATAGCACAAGGAAAGTAATACTAACAAAAAATGGTGCAAATAGTTCTCNTCTTGCACACTGTGGCTTGAAAACACTATATATATAGGGTCACACACCGACGTGGTTAACCCTGCTCGTCCTTTTTAACCATGATTAGGACAGCAAAAACAATATCTATCAATGGATTTAGTGAACTCACGACCAAGGAAAATGGATTCACTAAACCCCATTCACAGATTACACCTGAGGAGAACCAATTCATTACATTTTGTGCAAAATAGAAAAAGGGCTGTTTTGTTTGCATTTTTTAAAAAGAATTTTAAGAAAGTATGTGTTTATTTTTTTTTTATTATAAAATTTGTTTGATTATATGATTTTAAAAATAATTTTATAAAATAATAAAATTTATTTAGATAATAACCTAAAAAAAAATGAAAATAAAAATTTAATAGTGATGGTGAAAGTGTAGTGATGATAGAAATGTGGCGGTGGTGATGGACATAACAGTGTTAGTGATAGGAATGTGGTGGTGGTGGTTGGAGTCCGGTGGTGGTGGTGGTAATAGTGGTTGTATTTTCTAAATTCTAAAAATGTTATTTCTAAAAATATATAAAATAGTCGTAACTTATTCTCTAAAGTCTACTCATTTTTTGACCTCAATTTTTAAAAAACAAAAATAAAAAATAATTGGTCAAACAACTTTTCTTCTAAAAATAGAAAAAAAAAATTTAAAATACAAATCAAACAAGGTTTTCCTTCATTTTTTAGGCAAAGAATATATAAGAAGTAAAGTGTATAGTTTTACACTAGCATTACATCAGGATAGAAAATTAAATTACTCCCAATCACATAAAAACTCTACAAAGGGTTATAAGCAATGTNGACAACATTGTCTTCAATTCTGATCGTAGAATTGCAGGGAATCTGATTTGACAAAAAAATATTACAAACGAACAATAATATTTTTTTAAAAAAAGTTACATTTGCAATGGATTAAAAGGTCATCTTCCTTTGACAAACATTAATTTGATGTGTTTAAGCAAAATAATATACATTTGCATTATACTGCAGAACAATGCATCAACTTCACTTAGATAAGCTAAATCAACTACAACATTATACATTCTTAATTTCAATAAATCTTTCGTTACACAACTAATGGGATTGANTGGGAGATTGGGAGAAATGACTTGATTCGAGGATATCATATTGATCACAACGTTTATTGTCTTGATTTTTTTCTTCTTTTTTATCATATTTTCTTTACATGATATTCCATTTGTTTAAATATAAACACTTGGGTTGCCGAGAAATTATGGGGGAGAAANAAGAACATTGTCTTCAATTCTGATCGTAGAATTGCAGGGAATCTGATTTGACAAAAAAATATTACAAACGAACAATAATATTTTTTGTAAAAAAGTTACATTTGCAATGGATTAAAAGGTCATCTTCCTTTGATAAACATTAATTTGATGTGTTTAAGCAAAATAATATACATTTGCATTATACTGCAGAACAATGCATCAACTTCACTTAGATAAGCTAAATCAACTACAACATTATACATTCTTAATTTCAATANGAAAGTTTACGGTACCCAAAAAAATAAATTCGGTATCATATCGTTAGTTATTATTTTTTATGATAAAAGCATAATTTTGGCAAGAAAAATTATAACTCTTTAAAGGAAGGTTATAATCGACCATAGACACCCATGTTCTATCATAAACTCTTTGGTATTGATGATGTCAGTCTTTTATGATCGATTATATCCTTAAAATTGTAACGTACACAATAAAAAAATTGTAANTCAATCTTTTATGATCGATTATATCCTTAAAATTGTAACGTACACAATAAAAAAATTGTAACTTAACTTAAAAAAATTATTATTTTTGATATGGTATTGTTAGTGGTACCATAGCCTTTCTCTATTTTTTGATATACACTTTAATTTTTGTTCAATTATGACGTGACATTTAAATTTTTTTATTATTTAATCTTTATTTATTAATATTTTGACCAATATCTCTAAAGAACTTAAAAAAAAATTTACCACTTTAATTCATTTTTAAGTATGATATAAAAAAATACATTTTTCACCATATACTNAAAAACCACTTTAATTCATTTTTAAGTATGATATAAAAAAATACATTTTTCACCATATACTATCATCAATAAATTATATTTAAATAATATTGTTCTAAAAAAATAATGTTGTTTATATTTAATTTACTAACTTAATCATTATTTATTCGATAAAGATGGTCCCACACGATTGTCTAAAAATTAAAGGGTTAATCACAAATTACATCCTAAAAAATCGTTTGAAATTCAATTTTTACTTTTTATTTTGTATTGATGCATGCAAAAACTAACAAAGGTTGTCTTCTAAAACTAAATAGGTAAATTATACTTAAATTCCTTCATACTTGTCACTTAATTATTTAGATCACTCACATTTAGAATATTATTTTTACACCTCCAGATGTTTGTGCACGTGTAGCACATAATCTATTGTCGTTAATATCTGTCAATATAACCATTAAAAAAATATAATTTCATCATAATAAAAATTATAATTTTCATATTACCATTTATTTTGTGAAACCGTTATACTCTAAAGTTTAAAATTAAGGTTATCATTTGAATGCACAATATAATGTAGATATTTATAAAATAATTTTTATATTTAATGCAATACATCGTTTAAATGGAATTATTTGGATGCTCAATTGAGAGAATAATTTTAGTCATATTTGGATTCTAAAGGGATGTAGATATAATATTTTAAAGGGGTATAGATGATTAAGTGACAAGTATGAGAGGTTTATGTATAATTTATCTATTTAGTTTTAAATGGCAAATTGACGGCCGTTAGCTTGAGGTGTACATTAATAAAAAATTTTATCTTTGAGAGTATAAATTAAAATTTTTAATCTTTGAGAGTATAAATTGAGATTTGAACAAAGTTTTGGGTGCAATTTGAGAGTAACCCAAAATTAAATCCCTTCTTTCACAGTCCACAGATATCGCGGACAAACGAGGGGGCAGAGAGAGAGAGAGAGGCGACCGAGATGGCAAAGGTCAGTCCTCACACTCCGAAGGTGTGTTCGTAGGGGTTTTTATCTTGAACTTAGGGTTTCTATTTTGATCTGATGGCAATTAAGGTTTCTTTTT